ATGCAAAAGTTCATTTATTTTAGTAATTCAAGCCTTTATTTGTTATAATTTTGATGATTATGGCTTACAGCTATGAAAACCCCAAAGTCAAAATGAGAGTATTGTGAAAAGGTTTCTGTAAGCCATAATCATCCAAATTATAACAAATAAAGGCTTGAAATATCTCACTTTGCATGTAAGGAGTCTATATAATATATTAGTTTCACCTTTTAAGTTGAAGTATTGAAATAAATGAACTTTTGCAAGATATTCAAATTCTTCGAGTTTCTCCTGTAGAAATATGGGTGCTTCTTTTTGATAATCATCTTCTGGGAAAATGTCTCTTGAGGAGACCAATGTTTAATATCTGTCGCTAGCCTGGGAAAACCCAGACAACTTCCGGCAAATTTAGATTTGCTCTGAAAGTTAGTCTGGCAAAGAGCTCATTCAAGCTCATTTCCAATCCGTCGAAATCGAGGCACCAATCAGAAACGTTGGGGCGGGCTTTACACGATGACGACAGCGCTGGGATTTTGAAGCAGATTTTGTAGCCTACATTACAAAGATGGATGCCGCCGTCGAACATCACTCGTTGGAATCAGCTATCGCGTCTGTTTTAAGCGATTTGAACGTTTCCTTTTTGTTAAAAACGGAGCAAAGAACAACACTCGGAGATGTTTCTCCGCCGCTCTGCATACGTCATCTCCTTCATCGCTCTGATTGAGTTTAGGTCTATCCGCGACGTCCGTTGGTGACGCGCCTCTGGAAATGATTTGTCTATGACGCTTTGCCAGACCCTCAGTTACAACTGAGAATGGTCTGGTTTTAACCAGGCTAATCTGTCGCTACAGTTGCAGCAGAACCTGACAGCCATTGAATACCATATCATTTTTGTTGGATGGAAAGAAAAAAGTTGTCATAGAGTTATATGAATGACAAGCATATATGTGGAAGGTGAGAACTGACCAAATTTAGACTTTGACTTAGATTTAGAAGTGAATGTGTGATTTCTGCCACAGCACTTCAGTCACTACATTCTTCTTTTTGCGACTTGCTGGATGCTGCAGACACCATATGGGTTTTCAATGCTTCGCTTGTTGTTGTTTTTTAAATATTTGTGAAATTTAGCGATTTCTGAGTGAAAATTGTTTATCTTGTATATCTTACACCAGTTTTTGTCTAAGCCCAGAGTTTGATAGAATCGAGAGAAAAGATACTTGAACAACTTCACTCAGCCTTCATGTGCACAAAAAAACGAGTCGTGTGTGAACTCTTACGTGATTTCTGTGCATCCTAAGCCGTGAGTCATGTGATCCAGTTATTCACTGCTCTATCTAAGCATGCTTGGAATCTAGGCATGCACTTTAAATAACATCTTTCAAGTGACTGTAACGGGGAGAGTCAACACTTGTAATAGTCACTCAATAGTGATTCACTAGGAGCAAATTCTCTGCTGATTGCTCTTCAGAAACCTGGAGATTCAAGCTGGGAAGCCAAAAGCCTAGAGTAGCAGATTAGGTTTTCTTCTTTTTGTTTATTATTGATATATTTTCATTTTTGAAGATAAACTGACATATAGACGATGCCAGATATGGGGTTATAATTGATGCATATTTCTAGATAAATAGATTTTAAGCCACAAACAAATAAAAAGAGATTCACAAATATTAAAACAAATTCACAAAGAAATAGAATGAGATCCACAAATATATACAGGAATTAATTTAATTCACAAATAAATAAAATAAGATTTGCTCATTTAAAAAAAAAAGTATCCACAAATATGTTTTTACGTTTGTGGATGGCTTCCTCTGCATTTGTGGATCACTACACAAATGTGTGCATTTCTTCCTGTGCATTTGTGGATCACAGACCGCATAATCATATTTGAACTCTGACTGTTTTTTGTCATTCTTAATTCAAAATAAAATGTTAATTCATCAATAATATACATTTATGATTATCCCAGGTTGCTATGGTTACATGTTTACGCATTAAACTCATTGCCATGAGAAAATGATGTATTTCCTTCAAGATAGGATCGCATAACCACAACGTGAGGATGTCATCAAAATGATCTTGAGCCACTCACGACACATCACCTTTCCACGATTAATATGCTGTGGCGATTGAACTAAACATGTCCCTGTTGCTGTTATCTGATTGGCTTAAGTAGGTGGTGGGTGGAGTTCATCTATTTGTAGATTTATGTGCGTCTTGGCACTTGAAATGTCTCAAAATTCACAAATGCAGTCTGTGGACCACAAATTCACAGGAATTAATCCACACATGTGTGTAGCGATCCACAGATGTAGATGAAGCAATTCACAAATAAATGCCAGTCAAAGTTGTTTTTGTGACATACAATAACATTTATGGACTTTTTTTATTAATTACAAATCTCATTTTAATTATTTGGGAATTTGTTTAATGTTTGTAAATATCTTTTCATTTATTTGTGGCTCAAAATCTATTTATCTTGAAATATGCAAAAATGATAACCCCATAGATATGTGGAAAATCTCATTGAAAATCTTACTCTCTTTTGGTCCTTGGTGGCAATGAAAAAATGCATTGAATTAAAACTATTTAGTCAAAATATTAATTAGAACTGATTTACCTCCGGTGTTTTATGCATCATCAGATGCCATTTTGAAACCGTCTTCCATTCTGCGCAAATTGTCAATCACAAACACGTTTATTTTTACACACTACTTTTTTTTACACACTAAAAATCAAATTACGAATTGACTGTAACTTAGGAAGACAGCTGGTGGATTGCTTCTTCACGTTTGGGTTTGTTTTCCTCCAAACACTAGGCCTACATGGAAGATCCCGGGACAGGATTATTGACCCGTGAGTCTGGGATTTATGCTCTGGTGGTCAGGCTTGGCAAAGGAGGGGCTCTCGATGTGAGATGTGATTAAGTTTTGTGACTTGTGTATGGCAGAATTGCAGGAATGATGGATCTGGGACATGGGCAGATCTTATTACACCACCTGCCCTTTACATCACAAAGCAACACCCCCTCCAAGGTCACCAGCAAGGACAGAGGTTAACGTCTTAACATCTGGCCTGGAAAATCCCCCCACTGAAAAGGGGAGGATCTACATCTGAATAGGCCTGATTGACAGTTTTATAGGCATGTGGGTTATAAGCATATGATGTAAATATAGCATCAGTGTTTATGCACTTCATTCATCACACTCTCATGCTGTGGTGCTATGTGAAGAAATCATAAAATTTAACACTCGTTTCCCAAGGGAGTATCCATTGCTCATTTGGTTTAATTTTAGTGAAGAATGCATGCTGTTAGAGTTAAAGGTGAAGCTGCTTGTCTAAGAATGGCAGTAAATAATGTGGATTGTTTGAGAGATGCTATTGATCTCCTTTGAAATAAATTTGAAATTCACTATTTAAAGGGGCATTCGGTAACTTTAGCCACTTATTCGCTAGGGCTGTGTATCACCAACAATGTCACGATACGATACGCATCACGATACTAAAGCCACGATACGATACGTATCACGATATGGATCAATTTGGAATTTAAATTTCTTTTGAGCTGAGTTTAGTAACAGTGTTATAACAGTTGTGATAACTGAAAAACAATTTAGTTTTTGTCATAAAAAAACAATGAGTTAAATAAATAAAAATGTTTAGAATGGCTCTTCCTTCTGCTTTTAAAGTCTGCCTCAATAACTGAAATGACAGTTATAGTGACACTGAAGCATGTCTACACTGCTCAATGACTAAACAAAACTTAAAACATTCCATAAAAGCAAAAACGGTAACAACTTAAATTTAACTTAGTTTTCTCAAACTCTTTTAAACACCTAGTATTTAACAATTGGGTCTTAAGTGTTGAAATGTGCACCAAACAAAGTCATTTCTTCTATGTTGAAATCATTTTAAATTATTACATTTTCAGATTTTTATGCCGAAACAACAATTGATTGACATGCTCAGGGTTAAGAGAGTGACAGCAGAATATCTCGCTTAACTTCATCATACAACCGCGAATTGCCGTTTCTGTTAAAAACGTTTATGCTTATTTAAGACATAACCAACTGTGGTTAGAGAATACTTACCTAGACCGAAATTTTTGACATAATTTTGCGTGTTTTAGTCTGTTAAAGCGATGTAATCTCGTGAGCTGTATGTGAGGTGGCTTGTCTATATATGCACGCAGAGAAAACCAACTTTCAGAGAGAGCGGAAGTACTGAATAGTTTAAAATCGTTTAAATGTTTAAACTGGTAAGACTTAAAGACGTGCAAATGGTAAACTTTAGTCACGATTCAATGCTGGCCCGATTATGCAAGTGAATATTCCGTCATGTCCCGACTCCTAAACGCGAGCGTGTAGTTTCACCGGCTGCAGCGCTTGACGCTTGCATTGAGCAGCCGTTTTGAGAGACGAGAGAGAGAAGACGCAGCACCATTGAACTCACGCTCTTTGTGAAATTGCGTCTCGCAGAACGTTTTAAAACCACTGATTTGATTGTATAATCTGTGTGGATTCATTTACTAATACAACCTACATGCTAAAGTGAATCAATGTTTGCGGGAATTTCCCGCATAAGTGGGAGAGCTGCGGGAATAATTAAAATTATGCGCAATACCCGCGCCGAAATTCGAGCCCTGGCTACATTCAAAAGCACAAAAGTATCGATACGGCAGCTGCTGTATCGATACGCGCATCGCCAGGAGTTCATGACGATGTATCGTTGTATCGATATTCTGAGCACAGCCCTATTATTCGCTGATTTTCACTTTTCTTGTCACATGTTTTCTCAACGAGCTCCCCCTACAGCTATGGTGTGAATATTTCACAACACTGTCGTAAATTCACTTGTGGCGTCCTCCTCCCCTGTCTACCATAGACGCGCTCATGTGCTTTTGTTATTGTCGGATCCGGTGTGTTGAATAAATGAGTCCCAGACACTCCAACTTTATCGTGTGGAGCTATGTCTACCGAGATGGACAGCCCATTCTCATCCCTAGGCGTCATGAAACTGACGCCTTGGGAATCATTTTGACCATGCTTCAATATTCGACGCTTTAGGCACCCTTTAGCGTCAGTTACATGACGCGATCCTAGGCCGTCATCTTGCTGACGCTTTACCTTTAACGTCAGTTAGATGACGCTATCTAATCCTTACCCTACCCCAGACCCAAACCTACCCGCGTCATCTAACTGACGCTTAGGTAAAGCGTCAGTAAGATGACGCCCTAGGATCGCGTCATGTAACTGACGCTAAAGGGTGCCTAAAGCGTCGAATATTGAAGCATGGTCAAAATTGTCATTTTAGTGACGCCTTGGGATGAGAATGCGTTGAGATGGAGGTGTGTGTGTTTCTAATTGCCGTAAAGCAGTTTGTGTTACTCGCTCTTTCTCGCTCGTTCTCGCTTCTCACGAGACTTCCTATTTCCAACTTACCGGGACGGTAGTCCCTATGTTGCAAGGCTGGTTTTCCGCCTGGGAACGCTGGGGGGAGTGGGGAAAGTCACCATTCTCACCAGAAGAGGTTATTTAAACATCCAAATGATTCCTAAATGGATTTATTAAGTTGGAAAAGTTTCCAAGTGCAGCTTTAATGTTTTTGAAAGAAGTCTCATACTCTGCAAGGCTGCATTTATTTGATCAAAAATAAAGCATAAGCAGTGATATTGTGAAATGTTATTGCAGTTTAAAATAACTGTTTACTATTTTAATATATTTAAAAATGTAATGACTGTCCGAATTTCTGTGAATACAAAGCTGAATTTTTAGCAGAATTTCTCCAGTCTTCAGTGTCACATGACCCAACAGCAATCATTCTAATATGCTTATTTCAAGAAACATTTCTGATTATGATCAATGTTGAAAACAGTTGTGCTGCTTAATACTTTTGTTTTTCTTGATATTATTTTATTTTTAAGTATTCTTTGATAAAAAAAAAGTTCAAAAGAAAATAATCAATTTGAAATTGCTTTAAAACAACGTTAAAATTGATCTTGTAACAATGTAAAAGTTTGTACTGTCACTTTTCAATTTAATTTAAGTATTTTCTTAAATTATTTATTTAGAAAAAAAATCTTACTGACCCCACGCTTTTGAACAGTAGTGTAAAAAATAGTGTCAGTAATAGCATTTGTGTATTATTCACAACAGATTTGTAGTTCCACCCAGAGGCAAAGGGGTTGCTTTCATCTCATATGTTTTAAAGCATCACAAAAGATGCCTTGCATTTATAGGTTCTTCAGCTCATTTCGTTTTTTTGGTTCTTAAAGGGATAGTTCACTTTGAAATTAATTTTTGATATGTTTTAGCTTACCTCAAGGGCATCCAAGATGTAGGTGTCTTTGTGTCCACAGTATTTTCAATTTTGATATTTTTAAGTCAAACCGTTCTTGTCTGTCAGTCATATAATGCAGGTCTATGGTCACCACCTCAAAGAGCATACACATGGCCTAAGACACGAAACGAGCGGTTTGTGTGAGAAAACGCACAGTATTTATATCGTTTTTACCTCTTGTAACCACAGCCACGTCCAAGTGATCTGAGGTCGCGAGCGCTTCGGTCTTTTCCGGAAAGCACCGCAAGTGATCTCTCGCGCGTGTACGTCACTCATACAATTGTTTTATTTTTTATTTTTTTGGAATTGTTTTCTTTTACGACGGTTTAAACATCCCGGATAAGCGCAAATTAGTACCCTTTTAATTAGCCGTCTTACATACAATCTCTGCTCTGTGTAAACAATGAGTGACGTACACGCGCGAGGTTTCACTTCCGGCTCTTTCCGGAAAAGACCGAACCGCTCGCGCCCTCAGATCACTTGGACGTGGCTGTGTTTACAAGAGGTAAAAACAATATAAATACTGTTTGTTTTCTCACACAAACCGCTCGTTTCGTGTCTTAGGTCATCAGTGAGTACTTACATTTATGAGTCATTAAATCATGTTTAATTTGGACTTCTCTGTGCATGCTCTTTGAGGTGGTGACCATAGACCTGCATTATATGACTGACAGACAAGAACGGTTTGACCTAAAAATATCAAAATTGAAAATACTGTGGACACAAAGACACCTACATCTTGGATGCCCTTGAGGTAAGCTAAAACATATCAAAAATTAATTTCAAAGTGAACTATCCCTTTAAGGCATGTCATGCAAATTATGCCTCATTAAAGATATAGCTCATTAACTGCAAAGCAACAGGTAAAATACATTTCTGAGAAAATGTTGTCGTTGAACCAGATAGGCCTATTTATCTTTAAGTATCCATTTTGTTGAGTATTATTTTATTTTGTGCTATTAAGATGTTGAGTGCATGTAATCCTCTTATGAGCCCTGCACATTAGGTCACGGTTCAAGTCTGTATTTTCATTGCTGTTGTCTCGTCGTGTCGGAAACCCTTGTGAGTGTGACTGACTCATTCAGCATCTAAGCAACGTATCAGCTGACGAGTCTAATCAAACCCGTTCTCACCTGTTGCTCATTTGTTTCTCCGTATTTGATCACTAACCAGGGGTGTGTTTCCCAAAGCCAACTATGGTCGCAAGTTCCGTCGATACCAATAAAGTTCAATGGAAATTGCGATCATAGTTGACCAACGATGCTTTCGGGAAACGCACCCCTGCCTGGATGACTGTCCGACTGATTTCTTCCTGTCCTCTTCCTGTACTTCATCTGTTATTTGATTTATTCCTATTTCTCCAGGATTATTGTAATCGTTTTCTCTGTGAACTTTTTAATTGCACTCATCATTTGAGATGTTTGTTTACGCCGTGACACATAATTATTGCCTTCAGTTTAACGAAGTAACAAATGCACTCGAGAGATCAAAATAATCTTGTAAGTTTAAATGTTTCAGCAATCTGTCTGAAGGAGGGGAAAATGTCAAATGTGGATTTTTTATAACTATACAATATCCACTATAGTCTCTTGGGCCCTGTTTACACCTGGTATTAAGATGCGTTTAAATCACAAGTGCACAAAGCTAAATACAGGTGTAAACAGGGTCTAAAACATTTTGAGATTGTCAACTTTCGACCACTTCCAGAGGTAGTCGAAAATGCTTTCGACTGGATTGGTTTCGTAGTGTTGACGCTCATGTGGTTGAATGTGTTCGAACTGCCACAAAAGCCTAAATGCGTAAACATTATGGGAAGTGCTTAAACTTTGTCGGCTGAAGACCCAAGTTTGGTTTGAAGACGAAAAACATACCAAGCACAATGTTCTCTCACCATTCCTGATTTCTAACAATCTCTCACATCGTTCAGTGTGGTCTTGCGGCTGTCAGAGCAGAAACGAAAGCTGACTGCTCTCCGTATGTTTTTCTGTCGTCTCTGTGCGCGTTCATATGTAAATTGTGCAGGCTTATTTCGTCCATTAGATAGAAGATCTGAAGAAAAAAAACGTCAATGCCCGCCCATAGACCCTCCCCTCAAAGAAATCAGGACCGAAGTGGTTGAAAGTGGGAAAAACGAGACGGATTAAATCACCAGATGTAAACAGCTATGTGTTTCCCTCGTTTACTTGTGATCCGATCGACCGTAATGCATCTTAATACCAGGTGTAAACGGGGTTTTGGATGAAAAATGTTTACCTGTCAAGTAGCTTGAACAGTTAAAAGGATGTTGCTCAAATTATCCAGCACTAGCTATGTTTTAATGTACCACAAACTGGCACAATAGAGGTGAAGTCAGAGCTAGGCACAAAATCCAGGAGGCTTTTGTGTTCTCAAATCAAATCGTGTCGCTATGGATCAGAGTTTTAGTTCATGGACACAGTAGTCCTTGCTAATGCAGGAAGGATTTTACCTGAACCCCATAACCCACAAAGGCAACCTGTTGCTCCGTGACAACTAACACAACACAAACACGCCACTGGATAGTCAGCTATGCTGATACCATGGCTGATGTATATCTCCAGAATATTCTGCAGAGAAACTACAAGGACAGGTGCAATCATCCTTATTTTGCCGAGTTAGCCAACATATTTTGTTGATCCTGGAACAACATTCCTGTCCTGAAAATTTAGTCCTAACCCTATCCCTACCCCTAAACCTAACCCTACCCACAACATCAGAGGTAAGTGATAGGTGAATAACACTGATGTAGATGATCCAAACCTTGATTGTAAGCCTAAACTTCACGTAAACTGTAAACTTGACCCTCAATTCTGATTGGTTGAATGGAATGTTGTTCCAGGATCAACAAAGATGTTGATCCAGGAACATGTTTTACTTGGCAAAAAAAAAAAGGTTCAGTAAAATGAAATATTTCAAATGTATTGCTTTATATTGACACACATTTAATAATCAAAATGTTTTATTTCATAGTTGTTGATGTTTTTTTTTTTTTACATTTATTTTTAGAAACACATCTACTTCATGTACTGGTGTTTTTAAATAACCAGCTACAAGTGTACTAGATGTTTTAGTAGTTTTGCTGTAGTGCACTCTGTTATTTAAACATTGTAATGCCATAACCCAGTTTGCCCATTTAAAGAACCATTCATGAGAGGTTCCCTTATTATGAATCAACAAAACATATGTCACAACTATAGACTAAACAGATTAGCTGTGCCATGTGTTTATCTCGTATGTTGAAACAGGGCCATTTAATGCTCTGGGCATTAATTCCCCACCACTTAACAGTTCAGCAACACTATTACAGTCATTATGTAAAGGTTAAGGGTAATCCACTCTGGCTTTCCATCATGATCATGGACAGTAAACATATAGCAAACTTTTCTCATGATTAAAACGACATAGCTCAAAGATGATGGAAGCCTCCAGATAGCTGAACATAAACCATGGTAATTGGTATCTTTTACTTGCTGGTGACCTCTAAGCTATATAGCTAAAATATTCATGATACTCATGGCTATGAAGAAAGGGTGTCTTTATCCTCTGGAGCATTAATGACAAACTCTAGGCGTAATGCAATAAGAATGAATAGCGCCTACTAATAATGTTGGTTATTTGTATGCGCAATGTGTTGTTTTATCACCTGAGTGCATCACCATTGAGTGCGCCATTCACTTTTTGTATTTTGCCACTTTGAAAAGTATAGTGTGATGAAAAACAGAGGCT